GCCATATTTAATTAAGGAGGCCTGGGATATTAGGCCAGAAACTCAAACAAGGGTGAAGCCTTGTTTTAAAAGCTAGGGCACAGATGGGAAAGAAGCTGCAATTCAGAAACTAATAGAACAAGGAGAATGCCCCAATGCCAAAGCCTCAACAGTAGAAATTTGAAATGATGGAACCTGAGGCAGGCCTCTTGAGTACTTCTTATATCAAGCCTTAGTTGCCCTGGAAGCTGGAGCTGGACAGAGTCCTTGGAGTAGATGAGTGGAGCCACCTGTGAGAAAACAAGGGCAGGTAGAGGCTGATCCTGTCCACTCTTGGTTTCAACTACTATTACTGGCTGAAGATTTTCACATCTGTATTTTCAGCCCTGACTTCTCCTTCAGGATTTATACTAGTTATACAATTTCCTGCTGCTTTTCCTGTAGGGACTTCAAAGTCAACAAGCACAAAACTGAACTTTTAAAAACCTTAAACCTGCTCCTGCATGAACGATCTCAATTGCTGACACTACTGTTCAACCACACATTGGAATCTAGAAACCCAACATCCTTGCTTGCTTCTCCCTCTCTTCCCTGACACATCCAATGAACGCCTTAAATTGGTTATTTTTAGTCCATCTCTAGAATCACTATCTAGCTTAAGATCCTTGCCAACTCTTCACCTGAACTAATGATATCTTTTGATTAGTCTTATTCTGAAACACAGGGTGGTGTGCTTGGAGCCGGCTTGCACCAGCTGGCAAGAAGAGGTTGACTGATTCTCTTCCCAACTCTGTGTTCTATGATGTCATATTGGTAGATTGAAACTGTCCACAATGGGAATATTTACACCAGAAAAACTGGCAAACACCACAAAACAGGATCTTTTTTCCTCCCCTGTGGAGAGCTGCTTGTTAAACATTTATGAGCATGATTACCACTGCCCATTTCCCACACTGTGGCCAAACTAATCAACTAGGCCACTCTCCTGATTAAAACCCTTCAGTGGTTCCCCGTGGTCAACAGATAACATAAATTCCTTGGCATGACATATGAGGCCTTTTATCGTTTGGTCCCTGCCTAAATGTTCAATTTCCTCTCCCATATCTTTTTAGTCTCACAACTTATGTGCTAGCACGGAGGTCACAAACTGGTTCACTCAAGCCAAATTGGTCTCACATAGGTACTTTTTTTTGTCCTGCACTGTCTTTAAAATTTTTGAGCCAGCATTTATAACTTTAAGAGCTTCTACACCCACATCCATGTTTCTGGCTTCTTTTCAAAAACTGACAACACTGCTCCTCACTCGTGTCTATGACAATTTACAGGAACTGAGTAGTAGCTGCCCCATTCGAGAGGGTCTCTGCAGTTTACCAGTTTCTACCATTCACTCACCCAAATCATGCATATACACCTACACCTGGTCCTCATTTCTGTTACCTGTTTGGCCTGTATTTTAGACCATGTCATAAAATCTAGATTATTATCAGAATCTTCTGACCCTCATTATAGAACTTTCTCTTCCTTCACTTTGGCTGCCCTGATGATAGTCCATGGTCTCTGCACAGCCTGGGAAGGGAAAAAAACCAGCAAGATGATGAGGGAGGACAAAGCCAAGGGGGTAAAAGGAATATAAAGAAACCTGTAGTCTATGGATCAGTCCCCACTTTGAAGCAATAGCATTGTGAAAAAGGCAAAAATCTTCCAAGTTTGTGAGACTTCACAGTAGTTCCCTGCAGAGCTAATCATCTAACCCTTCTTGGAGTCATGGGATGCCTGCCTTCTCAGCTGGACATGGGAAGGAGAGGTCCAAGGAAGTTAGCTTATATTGATCCAAATTGTGGGAGTCAGATTTGTAAACAATAGAGTCAATTTCTCTTTTCTTTTCTTTTCTTTACTTTTTTTTAGTAGAGATAGAGTCTCACTCTGTTGTCCAGGCTGGATGGAGTGTGGTGGCACAATCACGTCTCACTGTAGCCTAGAACTTCCTTGCTCAAGCACTCCTCCTGCCTCAATCTCTCTACTAGCTGGAACTACACGTGCTTGCCACCAAGCCTATCTAATATGTTTTTGTTTTATTTTTTAAAGACAGGGTCTGACTATGTTGCCCAGGCTGGTGTTGAACCCCTGGGCTCAAGTGATCCTCCCACGTTGGTCTCCCAAAGTGCTGGGATTAGAGGTGTGAACCACCATGGCTGGCCATGAGAGCCAATTTCTTAATGTGAAAATAGGAAATTTAATATATTTTTGCTGAGTGTCTGCTGTGTGTCTAGCACTGTGCTAGATACCATAGGGGAAACAAGAGCAGACCAGGATAACTGTGCCTTCAAAGAGCACATAACCTTATCAAGAAGGCAAAAAGTACATGTGTGAAGTAATTTGGAAATAATGTTAGACAGCATCAGAAAAGTCATTTACTTGCATGTAACCTTGTGCCCACAATATTTAAGTGGGCAGCAAGAGATAAGCTCAAAGTTAGGAGGAGGAGCTGTTGAAGAAACCAGAGCTTGCAGTGACCCTTGAGTGGCAGAAAAATGGTGCGAGAGACCATTCCACACAGGGGATCCACAAGGATATACACACAGAAAGCAACATGTGAGTGGCAACACTGACAGGAGGAGAAAATGCAGTCTGGGTGGGAGGGCAAGATTGGTCACTGCCGACTGGTTTTCTTTTTAAAAGGTTTCCTCTCTGGTGTTAGGTACTCAGGAAGCCAAATGGGGAATCATAAAGTTCCTTGTCAGACAATATAGTTGGATCGTTTCAGAAAGCATTTCATATTCTAGGCATAGACAACAACACCCTTTTGGCTCTATCATACAAGTGGAGCTAAACAGTATTCACAGGTAAGCTGAGCTCATCTCAGGACAGGACTGGCAGCACCAACATGGAAGAAAAGGAAGGACAAGAGTAAGAAAAGTACAAAGAATAAGGAAGAGGGGAAGAGAGAGAGAGACAGGGAATGAGGAAGGAGGAATAGCATGGTAGGAAGCCAACCCATACCCACAATCTAACCCAGGGAATCCTGTGCTACAGGTTAGCCTCTCTTCCCCTCAACACCTTTAGATCCTGATGGAGATTGAGGAAGACTTCCGCCCAGAGAAAGGGTAGATTTCCCACACCTGAGCTCTCTTTTTCCTGGGCAGACTGTGACAAATTTCTCACTTCCCCATCTCTCCCAACTCTAGGCTTTATACCGATAGTGTTTCTGTTCATTTTCAGGCCCACTCAGCTCAGACCTACTTCTTCCTTAGCCTGTAGGCTTATGTTAATTTCTGAGATTATTCTTTCCTATGTCCAATTTACTTTATGAGCCAGTTGCTCACTTCCGGCTGTGTTGTCTGTATCTGCTCCCTCTAAATGTTTGACAATGTTTACTCTCTGATCCATCCTAGCAATTGATGACCATTATGCAGCCACCTTTCAACTATTAAGAGGCTGATGTAAGCACTCAGTGAAGGAAACAGGTTTCTTGCAAACTCCTCCTCCACCACCTTGCTCCTACTCTCTGCTTTCTGGCCACTTCCCTGTTTGAGAATCCTGTATGCAAGGTGGGAGGGAGGCAGTGATGTTGAAAAACAGTAATTCATCCCTTTGTCAGTTCGCCAGTAATTTCTTTTAAGAAGTTTTGAGAGTAAAAAGAAACTGTTAATTAAAATACAATTTCTCCTTACATTTACATAGATTAAAAAATTAAAAACAAAAACAAAAATCCCACTATTTGGCTATTCGATGAGACTCTCAGTTATCCATGGTCTGTCCTACCCAGTTAAAACGAACATTTGGAACTTTTTTTTCCTAAAGTGTAATAAAATCAATATTTCCTGGTTTTCTGGAATCTTACCCATATTTTTAATAGTCAGCTCCACTTCTCCATAAAGCCCCTGCTGACTATTCCAGTCCTCCCATTCTCTAGGTCTAGATCCTACTCCACTTAAACTCTTCTGTGAGTCTAGCAAGCTGCCTCGGTTTCCCTACTGGACTGAGAAAAGACTGTGTCCCAAAAGAGACATTTTAAAGTTGAAAGATTTTAAATTCATTGATCAGGTTCTGCACACTCACCCAGAAGTGCTCCTGAATACCCAAAGAAGCCCCCACCTTTCACCTATAGCTGCTATTTACACCAAACATTACATCATGGACATAGCAGTTTTATCAATGGTCCTTTTGCTATCGGTAACACTTCCTGAAGCCAAGAAGTCTTCATTCACAGACAACTTCTTCCTGACACTAACGAGTTATCTTTACCTTCCTGGGACCTGCAGGAAGTTGGATGAAACCTGTCTGACCTTGGTCTTTGGTCCCCTGAAGTCCCATATATATATATATATATATATATATATATATATATATATATATATATATATAAAGTTAATGTAACAATTCGAGAGAATCTTCTCTTCAGCCCCCAGAGTTTGATTTAATGACATGGTCTTGAAGATTACTGGTTGTTGTTAACCTTTCAAATAAATATTCCTGCAGCCTCTACTCCTCATTTGGAACTGAACTACTATGTACTGTTACCAATTTTATGTAAGTTTGCTCTACCCAAGTAATTCTCCAGAAGGTCAGGAAAAAATGCCCTTTATTTCTCTGTATTCTCCAGTATGTTTCAGACAGAAATGGGTATGTTGTCATTGCATAATTGACAACTTGATTCTAGAGCTTGGCTCTAGAGTCTTGCCTGGGTTTGAATCTTGGCTGTGTTGACTAAAAACTGTGTAACCATAGGCGTGTTCTGTAACTTCTCAGTGTCTCAGCTTCTTCATATGGGAAGAATATTTACCTCACAAGGTTGTTGTGGAGATTAAGTGAGTAAAGACATGGTAATGTGCTTAGAATAGTACCTGGCACACAATAAGCATTTCACAAACCTTAGCTATAAGGAAGGAGGTTTAGGAGGTCAAAAGAATTGAGACGAGAATGGAGACTTAATTCCTGATTCACCAGCATTTTATAGGTCCTATGCTTCTCTCTCCAAACTTTAATCCTGCTCTACCTTGCTTCTCATTTCTTGTACCTAGGTCCCCACTCTGATGATGGACACCCAGTTCTCTGAGTTCACACCAGACATCACTCCCATCATGCTGGCTGCCCACACCAACAACTACGAAATCATCAAATTGCTTGTGCAAAAACGGGTCACTATCCCACGGCCCCACCAGATACGCTGCAACTGTGTGGAGTGTGTGTCTAGTTCAGAGGTAGACAGCCTGCGCCACTCTCGCTCCCGACTGAACATCTATAAGGCTCTGGCAAGCCCCTCACTCATTGCCTTATCAAGTGAGGATCCCATCCTAACTGCCTTCCGCCTCGGCTGGGAGCTCAAGGAGCTCAGCAAGGTGGAGAATGAGTTCAAGGCCGAATATGAGGAGCTCTCTCAGCAGTGCAAGCTCTTTGCCAAGGACCTGCTGGACCAAGCTCGGAGCTCCCGGGAACTAGAGATCATCCTCAACCATCGAGATGACCACAGTGAAGAGCTAGACCCTCAGAAGTACCATGACCTGGCCAAGCTGAAGGTGGCAATCAAATACCACCAGAAAGAGGTAAGCTGAGTTCATCTCTGCTTTCAGGGAAGATTAAGGCCTCCCAAGTCTGGAGCAGCAGAGCAAGAATCAACATTTTTCTACCATTTAGCCCTCTAACAAACAATTGGTTGGGCAGGCCTCACAGTTATGCCCATTTATCCAAGTCACAGACAACCTTTTTGTATTTTCTTCATGGCCAGATAAATAACCATCTGATTCTTTGATGGAAAAGCATTCATGCATTTAGCAAATGCTTACTGAGCACTGTTCTGAGTGTTTGTGATACAGAAGACAGACACTGACCCTACTTTCATGGAGCTTACAAGCTAGTAGTGGATATAGAGTAAATGATCACTTTAATGAATATATGATTACATACTAAGATAAGCACTCTGAAAGAATAGTGTTCTGTGAGAGCACATAAAAAAAGATCCTATCCTATATACTGGGGACATAGTGGGCAGCGATTACAGAAGAGTCACTGTCTGGATGCTGGTAATTTTTGGCACAACTAAATCCCTGACAGCCCCTCAGAAAGAAGGCTAAGAAATGCATTTGAAAGATGGAGTCATACTCAGGGTTTGTAATTCAATAAAAAGCTGGAGCAGGATCTGCTATTGCATGACCTCCAAAATGTTAGGTTCTACCTCTTTAAGGGAGGTCAGTTCAAGCAGGTCACAGGTGAGGTTTTGCTTTCCAGTTAAGCAAGATTTATAGTCAAGCAGGTGTAGTTCTATGCCATCTTGTCAAACAATTTGGAAAAGCCTCCTAACAAGGCTAATTTAGCCCTTTAAGAAAGTAGTATGATACCATGGAAAAAGCGGGACCGTAAAAAGCAAGCTTTACAGTCAAAGCAGGTGGAGTACTATGTCATCTTATCAAATACTTTGGGAGAGTCTCCTAACAAGGCTAATTTAGCCTTAACTTTAAAGAAGCAGCATGATGCCATGGAAAAAGCAGGGACTATGGAGCTAGAGCAACCGAGGATAGAATTTTAACCCACTGGCTCTATGACCTGAAGAAACTCACTGCTATTTTCAGGGTATTAGTTTTCTCATTTATAAAATAGAAATGACAACAATTTCTCCACTTCACAGGGCTATTGTGGGAAATAAGAAAAGCTAGCATTTAGTGCATGACACCAGAAGTGCTTTAATGTCCATTTCCATCTCTTTTCCATGCTACCTGGAGTCCAAGCTGCTGAGAGGTGCTTGCCAGCTGAAGGGCAACTGGCAGCGCCATTCGTTCATGAATCCAGGCTCTGAGGCAAACCTCATTGGGTGTTAATCTGTTCACTTTTTCTCAGGCAAAAATAAAAGCATTATGCCTTAGAAATGAGGCACAAAACGAATACCAGGCAACCTGGAATGGGTTACAAAATGAAAAAGAGCAACATGGAGATTGAAAGGGCTATATTGGGGAAAGTGGTAAATGGCTAGGCCCATCCATGAGTCCCCTTATTTTATTTTTGCCATTTACCTGTTTAAAGTTATTTCAATAAGCCTGGTATTGTGCTTACCTCCATGGAGAAATGTAAAGATCAAATAAAATAAAAGAGGTAATATAATTATGCATAGCGAAATACTGAGCATACAATAGCGGTCAATAACAATTAGCTGGGTCACGTGCGGTGGCTCACGCCTGTAACGCCAGCACTTTGGGAGGCCATTCCAACATTATTGCTGTGAACATTGAAGTGGAATTTTTATTGTGGTAAGATATACCTAATATAAAATTTCCCATTTTAACCACTTGTAAGCTTACAGTTCACTGGCATTAAGTCCATTCACATCATGCAACCATCATCACTAGGGTTCATTTTTGAAGATGCACAAGTTTTGGAGTGTCTATTTTACTTTCAATAGTGTACCTATCTAAGTATAGTTTCGTATTTTGCAAGGCCACATTTTTTTTACATTTTATTTACTTATTTATTTATTTTTGAGATTGAGTCTTACTCTGTCACCCAAGTTGGAGTACAGTGGTGCAATCTCAGCTCACTGCAACCTCCACCTCCTGGGTTCAAGCAATTTTCCTGCATCAGCCTCCATAGTAGTTGGAACTATAGGCATGCACCACCACACCCAGCCAACTTTGTATTTTTTTTTAGTAGAGATGGGGTTTCACCATGTTGCCCAGGCTGGTCTTGAACTCTTGATCTCAAGTGATCCACTCACCTTGCCCCCTCAAAGTGCTAGGATTACAGGCTTAAGCCACTGCACCCAACCTATTTTTATTATTTTTAGAGACAAGGTCTCACTATGCTGCCTAGTCTGGTTTCAAACTCCTGGCCTCAAGTGATCCTCCTGCCTCAGCCTCCCAAAGCACTGGGATTACAGATGTGAGCCACCATGCCTAGCCAGATAAATTGTTTTTAATCCGTAACACTGGCAAAGTAGCACCTCTTAACTGTTCAATATTATGGATACTCAGCAGTAATCCAAGTAATTTCAAAAGTAATCAAAGTAATTTCAAAATTCAAGTAATTTCAAAAGTAAATTACTTTTTGAAAAGTAATTTTAAAAGCACTGTATTTATGCAAAGATCAATATTTTTAAGCCTAGTGTTATTCACTGATCTTTGTGAATAAAATAAATGAAAACCATGGTATTTAGCAGACTGTGTTGTTTCAATCAGAGCACATCAAACTCTAGCTCCAAGCAATATGCAGCCAGGATAGTGAGTGACTGTCAACTTCAATATCAATAATTTCATGATAAAGAATATAATTTCATAGAGCCACTGAAACTCAAATATGACCTAAAGTTTAGTCCCATAGCCAGAGACTTCAGAATCATTTGGGGATTTATATTTATATATTTTGCTCCAAATTTTCCAAGATAAATTATCTAGCAGGTTATACATCAATTTTAACATAATTAGTTTCTCTTCAAACTAAGCCACACTGATTAGAAGCACAGGCTTGAGAAATCATATATATCTTAAAGTTCATACTCCAAAGGCATTGCTTCAGGAATGTAAAACATAATTTATACTTATCAAACTCTATAAATCCCTTCTGAATTGTGAATACATTTCTAGAGGGGAAAAAAAAAAAAGCAAAACAAAACAAAAAAAAAAACCTGTAATCCCTTCCAATCTGTGAATTACAGTTTTTAAAAAATATATGGTTTCATTGAGTCTCAAATGCATACAGTCTCTAATTTCTCTCTATTCAATTCACGTGTCTAATTTAAGTCTGAATAATCTCACCTTCTTAAACATATCACCAATATCCTTTCTGGGGGTGTGTTTTTGTAATTTTAACTTTAGCGTATAAATTTAGCTCAATGCTGTGAGCTACTGAGGTTCCAACAATTCAAGTGTCTGTGAGAACTTCATTCTCAAAAGTCGTTGATTTGAGGAATCAGACTGGTAAGTCTGTTCAATAAATATCCAAAATCTAGTCTTTAAAAAAAAATGAAATATACACACAGTGCTTAGGACCACAAGCAGAAAAAAGTCATGATTTTGATCTTCATTTTATCACATTATATAATACACTTGATTTTTGCAGTATAAACTCTTCTCGTGTAGGAGTTGATGAAACTAGGCAAAGCAACCTTTCATTTTGATGCAAATAAATGAATGAAACCTAACTTTATGCTTCCATTATTATTATTTTTTATTTTTATTTTTATTTTTGAGACAGTTTCACCATGTCACCCGGACTGGAATGCAGTGGTGCCATCTTGGCTCACTGCAACCTCCACCTCCCAGGTTCAAACAATCCTCCCACCTCAGGCTTCCTGGAACTACAGGCATGTGCCACCATACCTGGCTAATTTTTGTAGTTTTAGGAGAGACGGGGTTTTACCATGTTGGCCAGCTGGTCTCAAACTCCTGACCTCAGGTGATCCACCTGCCTTGGCCTCCCAAAGTGCTTGGATTACAGGGATGAGCCACCACATCCGGTCTTATGCTTCCATTACGTTTATGGCAAGTTATCTCAGCTTTTCCATGTTAGACAAAATTCCTCAAACTATTTGAAGGCATATAGTTTATGTTTGCTAACTCATCAAGAAAAAAACGTATTAACATCTTAAGTGGGTCACACCCCAAGATCCAGTGGAACACATTTGGCCTGAGGATTACATGTCAGGAGCCCCTAAACAAGTTGAAAACTTTTTTTTAAAGAATATATTTTTTTTTTCAAACTAACTTCAGACCCTAAAGAAGACTGTAGGAAAATGGACAAGAATTATTTCCCAGGACCAGAATTATTCAAAGAGAAACTGCCTCTAGATGGGGATGAAATAACTGAGCTAAAAGAGAAAAGTTGTTTTTTCCACTTGATTCCATGCTTAACAGTTGGAGCATGAAGTTCTGTCAAGGATAGGTAGGATTTCCTCAATGTCTGTAATCAGGAATACGACACAGCAGATGCACTACTTCTCCACTCTCTAGTGCCATCCCTGGTGACACCTTGCTAAATCTTCTTTTAAAGTGTGTTGTGATTCCAACTGGGGAAAAAATGAAGAAATACCCAGTACAAATGGAAATTTTCTCAATGAGTCGATGTTTGTCGGGGAGAAGCATCAAGAACTCCTGCATCTGGGATAAGGACCCAAAGATAAGCCCATTCACATCTTAAGTTTCAAACAGACAACATGTATTTTTAAAGCTTGAGCTAAAAAGCTATATTCCACACAGAACATTTTTTTTTCTCTCCATAAAATGAGCTGCAATTGGAGCTGATTTTCCAAAGCTGGAAGTTAGGGGTTTGACTACATAAAAAATTTAAAAGTTATAGCTTCAAGAAAGGCCAGTGTTCCCCCAAGTTTAAGTAAGAATAAAGGTATTAAAATGATCAGTATTTCCAGATTTGTCACAATATAAAGGCATGTGTATTTATGTGTTTTCAACAACAGATTTTGTTAGTGACACCGTTTTGGGTTTTTTTGTTTGTTTGTTTGTTTGTTTGTTTGTTTTTGACAGTATTTCACTTTGTTGCCCAGACTGGAGTGCAGTGGCATGATCTCGGCTTACTGCAACCTCTACCTCCCAGGTTGAAGCTA